CTGCACCACCCTAGCCAGCTGCCCAACCGAGAAAGAGATGTCGGGCCTCGTGTGAACTGCTGCGTACAAGAGGCTGCCCACCAAGGACTGAAATTGCTGCTGCTCTTCAGCTTCAACCCCTTCATCCTCTGCAGCCTTCACAAGCTTGAATTCTGCTGGCAGGGGAGTTGCAACCTTGCGCTCATTCTCAATCCCATACTTCTCCCCCAGCTCCTTGATGAACTTCTCCTGGTGCAGCTTCAACCACCTGTGATCTGGATCCCTCTCCACGTGCATCCCGAGGTAGTACTTTACCTCCCCAAGGTTCTTGCACTTGAAGTTCTCCATCAGTTGCTGCTGCACTTTCTGGATCTCCTTCATGCTGCTGCTGAAGAGAAGAATGTCATCCACGTAGACCAGAAACAGCACCAGCTTCTCCCCCTCGCCCTTGAGAAAGAGGCTCTCATCACAGCTGCTGGTCCTGAATCCCATCTCCTCTAAAACAGCTGCCAACTTCTGGTACCAGCAGCGTGGCGCCTGCTTCAAGCCGTAGATTGACTTTTTCAGCTTGCACACCCTGCCTGTACCATCCTCATACCCAGGCGGCTGCGTCATGAACACCTCCTCCTCTAAAATCCCGTTGAGGAATGCCGTTGATGGAGATCCAAAAAGTGCAGCAGCAGCTGATGGAAAGTGCACTCCAGATGGTTTAGAGGAGTGCACTTTCCATCTGGATAATGAATTTCCCACTGACGGTGCGGTAGGTCTTGGGGACGTGGGCGACTGCCATGCAGCCAAACACCCTCAGCATGTCCACCGGCGGCTTCCTCCCAAGCCACCTCTCCAACGGCACCCACGAGTCATCCCCAACCTTGGTGAGCACCTTGTTCCTAGCGACGGTAGCGTGCCGGACAGCATGGGGCCACATCGAGTTGCTCAGCCCAGATTCTATGAGCAGCGCCCTAGCTGTCTCCAGAATTGTCCGGTTCGCCCGTTCTGCTACACACTTCGACTGTGGGGTGTAAGCCGTGGTCAGCTCCCTCTGGATGCCCTGCTTCTTGAGCCAGGCCATCATCTCAGCTCCAAGGAACTCACCACCCCGGTCTGTCCTAATTCGCTTCACCACACATTCCGCTTGCTTCTCCACGAACGGCAGCCAATCGTCCCGAATCGTGGAGGCGGCGTGATCTTTCTGCTTCAGCGGATACGCCCACATGAGTCTGCTCCAATCATCCACTATGGTCAGAAAGTACCGCTCCCCCTTGTGCCCCTGAACCGGCAGCGGCCCCACCAAGTCCATGTGGACCAGCTCCAAAGGCTTCTTGCTCCTGCCAGCCACACTATGGAAGGGAAAACGGGTAAACTTTGAGAGCAAACAGATTTCACAGTTATCATCGGGTGGCTGTCCGTTCAGCTTCAGACCCTTAACGGCTCCATCCTTCTCCAGCTGCTTCAGCAAGGGCATTGCCACATGCCCCAAGCGTCGATGTGCCGTTGCCCAATCTGTCTCCCCAGATCTGGCCGACACTTTCACACCTACCCCTCCAACGGCGTTGCACTCCCCCTGGGATGCAGACCCCTCTCCAGCCTGCCTCCCGCCGTGCCACGCCAACGCCGGCAGCTGCCACATAGATCTGTATACGTCCTTGCTCTCGTGCAGATCCCAAAGCACCCGGTTTCCTAGCTGCCCCTTGTACGTGCGTGCCCCATCCGTGCTAGTGCTCACCCCAGCCTTGGCAAGCTTACGGAGGGAGATGAGGTTGGCCTTGAGTTCAGGAACGAGAAGAACGTCGTGCAGCACCACCGGCTTGCCATCCGCTCCCTTGAACGCAGCTCGTCCCGCACCAGCCACCTTCAGCGCGTGTCCAGAGGCGGAGCACACCTCATTGATCGGTGCAGTGCGCACGTCGTCCAGCAGGTCCTTGCGCGGCGTCATCGTCCATGCAGCGCCCGTGTCCAACACCCAATAGTCCAGGGGGTGCAGCTCTGCTCCAACCTTGGCAGATGCGTCTCCTTGCTCCCCCTTGTCTCCCACATGGAAGAATTGGCCCGCGGTGCGCTCCTTCTTCTCCGCACCACCGTTGCCCTTCGGGTTGTTGTCGGACGAATCAGCGACCATGTTCGCGCCGTTTTTCTGGTTCCTTCGCGCGCCGCCATCCTGTTGACGATTCTGGGGGGTCCATCCATCGGGTTTCTTATAGCACAAAAACCAGGGGTGCCCTTCCTTCTCACAATACCAGCAACTCCCTTTCATTTTGCCACCAGCACCCGATTTGCCCCCACGTCCAGATTTCGCACCGCGACCCCAACCGATACCTCCTTGTTGGTCGTTGGAGTCGTCGTCTTTCTTTGCACCGCGTCCAGCACCACCGAAGCCACGTCCTCTGCCACGTCGGCTCCCTTGCATCCCGTAGCCGCTGCTGCCGTCGTCTCCACCCCTCAGTTGGCGGCGACGAAAGTCCTCCTCCAGAATCTTTGTCCGCACCCACTCGAGTGTCCACGAGCTCTGGTTCTGCGGCAGGCTCAATCCGCTCGTGAATTGAAGCCACGATTCAGGCAGCAGCGAGAGCATCTTCAAGCACTTGGTCTGCTCCGGGTAGGTGATTCCCACGGTCGCCAACTTCGCGTACAGGTCGCGCATCTTGTCCAGGACAGGTTGCACCGGCTCTCCCTTGCTCAGGCGCAACGCGGACAGCTCCCTCTCCAGCATCAACGTTGCGACAACGGAGGTCGGGGCGTGCAGCTCCTTCAACACAGTCCACGCCTTCGGACCGCATTCAACCTCCGGCAGCAGATGCATGACGTGGTGACGCTGGTTCAGCTCCAAACTCTGCGACATCAGATAGTAGCCAGCTGAGGAGCGCTCGTCCCAATCTTCCTGAAGGGCGGGGTCACTCGGTCTAGGCTCCTCCCCAATCATTAGTTTCAGCAAACCGATCTGACGGAAATACAATTGCATTTTCCAGGCCCAGTCATCATAGCCCTCACCATTGAACTTCTCGACGGTGAAATTCTTCAGCACCTCCTTGATCAGCGAGCTCTGGTTGGTTCGCGCTCCCCTTGGCGCTGAAAGACCAGAATCTTGGCTGCCGCTACGATCTTGGGCTGAAGATTCACCAGCTCCCGCCGAGGTGTTGCCCGCCATAGCTACCTATAACGAGGATCACTATAACGCAGCTCTGATACCAGCTTGTTGGTGTAAGGGCCTAATAAACTCAGGCTATTAAGACTTAATCAAACTTAAAACCTCTCCTCGGGGTCACCTCCAAGGGTCCCTGGGTGCCTGGTACAAGACCAGCCCCTATCCTCGGGTCCGAGTTTGTAGAGAGAGGGATCAAGGACTTAGTCAAAACAGCAAGAGTACCTTGAACGTCGCGCAGCGTGCCGTGCAGACCGTCGATCGGATTAAGCTGAGAATTCGCTATATCGAAGCTCGCTCCAAGAGCTTTAAAATGAGCCAAGTTGCCTCGCGAAAAGTTCTGCCATTACTAAGTTATGGCTCGGACAGCGTTTGCCTAGCGTTGGAGTGCTAGCATGCTAGCGTTGACTCGGGTAGCATTCCGCCGTCGAATAGCGCAGAAACGAAATTCCAGCGAGGAAGGAATTCGCTTGAATCAATTTGACTATATTCAGGTACAAACAGAGAAGGATTAAATAGTTCTAGCTAGCAAAGACCTTGGGAATCAACCTGGGAACAACCAGGGATGATCCCAAATAATTCCAAGCAACAGAACCAACCTGGCTGGACAAAATAGTAGGTGGTAGGTTGGTAAACAACCTCTGGTTCTGTTTTTCCAACCTGGGAAAACAACAACCAGGTTCAGGTTCTAAAAACAGAACCTGTTTTGTCTTTGCCCAACCAGCCAAATGCTGGTTCCGCTGGTTTCCCCTGGCCTTGTAGCATGCAGATACAGACAAACAACATCCAACCTTCACCTAAATTGTACCCCTATAGTGCCTGCCCTGCTACTATAGTCAACCAAACAATACAGTACAATTTCAAGTTGGATAGAACTGAATCTGCGCAATCAATTAAACCGAACTGCAAAGCTTCCATCTTGGGTTCCTTTGCGAGCTCGTCCTTTCTGCTTGCACTGTTCATAGCGCGTACAATGTTGTGCCGAAGCGCGCATTGCGCGAGTACCTGCAAATGCTTCAAGCGAAAATTGCGAAAGCAAACAAACACACGAACACACCATTCACACGCAAATGCATTTGCACACCAATACTTGTACAAACAGACGGCAGGATGTCGTGCAATGTGAATTTGCACCCAACAGCAGCGGCTACCGCGGAGAAGAAGAAGGAGCGCACCGCGGGCCAGTTCTTCCATATTGGAGAGCAGGGGGAGCAAGGAGACGCCTCTGCCAAGGTTGGAGCAGAGCTGCACCCCCTGGACTATTGGGTGTTGGACACAGGCGCTGCTTGGACGATGACGCCGCGCAAAGACCTGCTGGACGACGTACGCGCTGCACCAATTAACGAGGTGTGCTCCGCCTCTGGACCTACGCTGAAGGTGGCTGGTGCGGGACGAGCTGCATTTAAGGGAGCAGATGGCAAGCCGGTGGTGCTGCACGACGTTCTCCTCGTTCCCGACCTCAAGGCCAACCTCATCTCCCTCCGCAAGATTGCCAAGGCTGGGATGATCACTAGCACGGATGGGGCTCGCACGTATCAGAATCACTAGGCAAGAATGGATGAACTAACAGAAGTTTGGGTACAAATATGAAACCCTAGTTGGGGTTGTACCCCATATTGGCTACCCCACTACAGCCTACAAGCATAATACAGTTTAACACACCCCCATAGGCAAGGTGGGGGAGAACAAAGGGTCACAAGACCAGTCCAGCAAAGCAAAACAAAGCCCAGGGTGGATCACAACGTCACCACACTCCGAGCACAAGTAAAGGCCACAAGGCCAGTTCACATGCAGTGCTAGATATAGTACAAGACAAGCAACACAGTGATCAAAACCTAGCAAGCAAGCAACAAGATATATATAAAGTACAGTACAAAGAATGTCAAGCAGTGAGCAAGTGAGGAAATGTGGACACAAGGCCTAAAGAAGTACAGTGCCGCTGATGATCACTAGGCGGGAGCGCCTTGGTGAAGATATCAGCAGTGTTGGCCTTCGAGTCCACGTACACAAGCCGAAGCTGACTGCGCTGCTGAAGCTCTCGAGCAAGAAAGTAGCGAAGAGCAATGTGCTTCGTCCTGTGCTCCAGTCTGTGCTCCTGACACAAGGCAAGAGCCGCCTTGTTGTCACCGTACAGAACTGGAGGAGAACTAGGCCGCTCTCCCAAGTCAGTCAGCAGGTAGGTGAGCCAGCGTAACTCCTGTGCAGCCATGGCTGTGGCGTAGATCTCAGCCTCACAACTAGAGCCGAGAACAGAGGAAGAGCGGGTGGACCGCCACGAGACAGAACCTGAGCCAAGGCTGAAGGTGTAACCCTGTGACGACCGCTGCGTAGCCAGGTCGTCCACCCAAGAGGCGTCCGAGTGACCAGTGAGGACAACTCTGTCGCGTCCTCCAAGCACCAGCCCCATGCCTGATGTACTGCACAGGTAACGCAGCACCCTCTTAGCAGCCTCCCAGTGCTCTCGCCTGTGTCTCCCAGGCGCAACGTAACGAGCAAGGATGCTAAGAGGGTACGCGAGGTCAGGTCGCGTGCAAGTCATCAGGTACATGAGGCAGCCTACAAGCTCTGGGTACGGGCCACTCGGCTCTACGGACTCGTCCGAAGGTGGAGCTGAGAGCGAGTGGCTGGTAGCCAGAGGTGTGGCCTGTGGTGAGGAGAACTGGAAGCCGAAGCGCTGAAGGACCTGCTGCACCATGTGTGACTGAGTCAGGGTGATGGTGCGGCGAGCTCTGTCCCGGGTGATCTGCAAGCCAAGGTAGCTACGCAGTTCACCCAGGTCAGTGCAGGTGTGTCTCTTCTGCAGCTCCGACTTCACACGAGCGAGTGCCTCAGTGTCAGCAGTAGCAAAGACCAAGTCGTCGACGTACACGAGGATGTAGAACGGCGGCAGCGACGTGTCTGTGCGCAGAAACAGCGACGGGTCAGCAGTAGACGGCGCGAACCCAAGAGCCGCAAGAGTAGTCCTCAGTGTGTCGTGCCACTCACGTGGCGCCTGGCGGAGACCGTAGACTGGCCGGCGGAGACTCCACTGGGTACCAGGGGGAAACGACCCAGTAAAGCCAGGTGGGCGGCGCAGCCAGATCTCCTCGTGCAGGCTGCCCTGCAGGAACGCTGTGCTGAAGTCAAGAGAGTGAAGCTCGTAGTCACGCTGAGCAGCAACGTGCAGCAGAACCCGAAGAGTGGTCATCTTCGGGGTGGGGGAGAAGGTCTGGAAGAAGTCGACCCCCTGACGCTGACTGAAGCCTCTAGCAACGTAACGAGCCTTGAAGACAGGCGGAGAACCTGGCGGCCGCTTCACCCTGAAAATCCACATGCCATCGACGATGTTCGCCCCAGGAGGGGGAACCTCGTCGACGTAGGTGCCTGTGGACTTCCAGGATGCCATCTCTGCGTCCATGGCTGTCTGCCACTGAGAGGAGTAGGGACCCGAGATCGCCTCAGCCGCAAGAGAGTCAAAGTCCTCCTGCCTGTCCTCAAGGACGTCCGTGCCAAGAGCACACTCACCCCCGACGGATGGAGGACAGACAGACGCAGACTCTGACTCAGCGACAAGGCTAGCAGCGTAGTCTAGACGACAGGCAGCAGCAAAGTCAACCAACTCAGCGACCAGAGCAGACGCAGCCGAGGACTCAAAGGTGGGGTCAGTGACAACAGTAGCAAGGAGACGCGTGACTGTAGGGTGCTCAGCGCGATACCGGTCAGACTCAGGGTCCGGAACGGCAGGCAAAGAGGACGCAGGAGGAGACGGTAGAGGGACACGCCGAGGAGCAGTAGAGGGACGCAGAGTCATGTAGTGAGTGCCTGGGACAGGAGGAGGACGCTCACGACGGACACGACTACCAGTGCGAGCAGGACGAACAGGCGACGCAGGACGAGACTCAGGCTCACGACGCTCTGTAAGACCTCCTGTGGGACCAGTATAAGGAGAGGGAGCAGGGAGAGGCGAGGCAGGCGGTAACTGTGACTGCGGCTGGACAGGCGGAGGACACTCTACGGAGGGAGGAGGACAAGGAGGAGGAGCCTGCCCAAGAACCTGCTGAAGGAGCGGTACGAAGTACGGTCGCGGCCGCGCAGCGTCTCCAGAAGCAGACGGGACTCCAGCGGCCGGGTCCTCAGCACCAGTAGGAGCTCCAGCGTCCGGGTCCACAGCACCAGCAGCAGCTCCACCGGCCGGGTCCCCAGCTCCACCGTCCGACTCCTCAGCACCAGCAGCAGCTCCACCAGGTGGGTCCGCAGCACCAGTAGCAGCGCCACCCCCAGAGTCGGCAGCTCCAACTCCGCTAGCACCGCCAGCGCCAGAGTCCCCAGCTCCAGCAGCTCCAGTCACAGTGCTCCCAGAACAGCCAGTCCCGGCAGCTCCAGTACCCCCAGTACGAGCACCCCCAGGACGAGCAGCTCCAGCACCCCAAACTCCAGCCGAGCCACTAGGACGGCGAAAGCGTCGGACGTACCAGTCGCGAAGCTGCTGCGGTGTGAGAGACTGCTCAGCACCCCGAACCGGAGCACCCCCAGACGCAGTAACCCGAGGCTCCGTAGGCTCAGTAGCAGCACCCCCAGGCTCAGTACCCGCAGGCTCAGTACCCGCAGGCTCAGCACCCCCAGTCGCAGCACCCCCAGGCTCCATTCTCTCAGGCACCGTACCCTCAACTCCAGCACCCTCAGTCCCAGCACCTGCAGCCCCAGCACCCCCAGGCCCAGCACCCCCAGGCTCAGCACCCCCAGGCTCAGCACTCCCAGCAGCACCACCCGCAGCAGCACCTGAGTCACCTGTGACCTCGACAGGCTCAGCGACGGGAGGAGGGTCTACCTGAGAGACACCTGAAGGAGCAGGACCCTGAGGGGGAAGGGGGTCTACCGGAGGGGGACCAGGAGCAAGGAAAAGCGGCGGGGGAGGGAGGGGGGCAGTGCGGTAGGGGAAGAGACGGTAAAAAGGGACCGACTCGTCAAAGGTGACATCCTGAGAGGCGAAGACCCGGCGCGAGGTGGGGTGGTAAAACTGCCAGCCAGGCGCGTCAGGGACAAAGCCAAGGAAGACACAGGGAAGCGTGCGGGAGGAGAGCTTGTCCGCGGACGTATCGCGGACAAGGGCACGAGCACCCCACACCCGGAAGCGCGACGCATCGCCAACCTCCCCCGTCCAACGCAGTGTGGGCGAGGTCTCCGGCAAGGAGACACGGGGCCAGAGGTTGAGCTGATGCGCGGCGTACCGGACAGCAAACGGCCACAGAAAATGGGGAGCCGCCGCGTGGACCAAGGAGGTACGAGCGACCTCCATGACCAGGCCAATGCGGCGCTCAGCAACCCCATTCTGCTGTGGGGAGTCCGGAAGCGTGAAGGTCTGCTCGATGCCCTCTGCCTGACAGAAGGTCCTCAGAAGATCGGAGGAGAACTCACCACCTCTGTCAGAGTGCAGACGCAGGACAGGAAGATCCGTCCGGAAACGGCGGCGGAGCTGGAGACGAACCGTGCGGATCCAAGGGATCAGAACAGCAGGGACCTCACCCTTGGTGTGCAAGGGGAAGACCGTGGTGTAACGCGAGTAGTCGTCGACAACCAGCAAAAAGTACCGCTCACCGCCCTGACCACGAACGCGGGCTGGGCCCCACACGTCCAGGTGGAGGGTCTCCAGAGGAGCCTCTGTCGGGGGGAACGAGGAGGAGTGAGGGGCGGCGCGCTGCCGCCCCTCGACGCAAGGAAGGCAAGGCGGCGCAGGCGAGGCAGGGAGGGGAGGGAGGGACCTGGGAAGACCGGACACAAGGAGGCGACGGTGCATGCCACGAAGGCGTGGCAAGGAGGGGTGACCCAGGCGGTGGTGCCAGAGGAGAGTCTGGTGCGACAGGGAACGACACTCACAGGCGTGGGCCACCAGACCTGACGCAGACACCTGACCGACAGCAGCTACCTGGGGAGACGCAGTGGTCAGTGTGTAGAGACTCGACCCCGGCCGACGGGTGAACGTAGCCAGGTGACGGCCGGTCCTGGAGCACGTGCAGATCGCCACACGCTGTCCGCCAGGGGTAAAGGTGTCAACCCACTGATCCTGGAGGACAGCGTTGCTCACCAGGTTCGTCGAGAACGAGGGGAGGTGGAAACCCGACAACGAGCCAGACGGAACCGCCGGACAAGGGAGGACAGTGGTGGACTGGGCAAGGACTGGGCCCCCAGAGGGGTCAGCCAAGGAGACTGGGACCGGTGCAGGAAGCGGTGTGAGCTCAGTACTGTCACGGAAGAAGCAACGGGAAGCACCTGAGTCAAGGGTGAAGGTGTGACAGGCCTCAGCCGGTGCGGTACCTGAGAGAGGAGTCTCTGTGGGTGCTGTACCTGAGAGAGCAGACTCGAAACCAGCCGGGACAGCACTGGGGGGAGCAAGTACAGGGGGCACCATACCAGAGAGAGCAGACTCACTAGTACCCAGGGCAGCGGGCTCTATACCTGGGTCAGGCGGCACACACAAGTAACAGTCTCCCTCGGCACTAACAGTCAATGCATACATGGCAGCAATAATAGCATCATAGTCAAGAGCAAAGACATCAACACCAGCCCTCATGAGCTCAGCCCAGCGGGGGCGCTCAACATCCGCACCCATCTCCTCACGCCAAGCGTCGTCAAGGCGGGAGAAGCAGCGGTACGGGGTGTGGAACCTCCCACACGTCTGTCCCTTGCGGTCACCTGTGCGAATGACATAAGAACAGCGGGCACTGGCCCCCGACGTCCCACGCTGAGCAAGCCACTCACGAAGCTGCTGGGTCGTCTGGGGACGCTGCTGCTGCTGGGAGCTCTGGCCAGAGCCAGTGCCTCCACTCCGACCTCCGCCGCCACCACTACCACCGCTCCGACCGCCACCGCCACCACCGCCACCACCGCCACCGCCGCCACCGCCGCCGCCGCCACTACTGCCACTGCTCCCTCCGCCGCCCCCGTCTCCACCACCGACCCCACTCCCACCAGCGCTCCCGCCACCGCTCCCTCCAGCACCGCCTCCCCCCCCACCTCCCCCACCTCCTCCCCCCCCAGCGCCACCACCACCACTTTTGCCCCCCTTGCCCTTGCCGGTGCGGCGCCTCCCACCAGGAGTAGAAGCAGCGCCAACAGACTCAGCACCAAGGAATTCAACGGCAGCAGCAGCAGCGTAGGAGGGAGCGAGGGGAGAGGGAGAACACCCCTCAAAGATGGGGGTGCGAGGAGCGCCACGAGCAGCACCGACAGCTACAATGCTCTTTTCGGCCGCGAGCAGGTGCTCCTCTAGGAGGGCGACTGTGAGCTCAGTGGGACAGCGAGCAAGGAAGTGGTCTCGAACTGAGCGGAGGGTGTCAGGGAGACGGGTGACTATGAAGTGGAGTGTCCAGTACAGTGGAGGGGGGTTCTTAGCGCAGAACTCGGTGGGAAGGGCGGCACGCAGGCGAGCATCACTAGTGCGAAGGTGGGTGATAAGATCGGCGACTGTAGTAAAGGTGGACAGATCGGGGAACAGGTACGGCAGCATGAGGCGGCTAAGCTCGGCTGTGGCAGGCGAGGAGTAGCGAGCGACGACAGCGTCGTACAGGGCCTTAGCGGATTTGCAGTCGCCAAAATGCTCTAGCTCAGCTAACGGCAGGTGACTGCGAATGGCTAGGCGAGCAGCTGCGTCACGAGTCTGCCAGTGGGAACGAACACTAAGCTCAGCTGTGGCAGGAGGGGCAGGCGCAGCACCAGACGCGTAATCATAGAGCGACACATGCTCCTTGCTATCGCTCAGGAGGAACAGCTGCAGGTCATCTAGCCAAGCGGTGAACCGCACAGGGCGGCCCTCAGCATCGAACGACAGCACGCGGATGGAAGCCATAGCGACAGTGTGACAGAGTAACGCAAGCTGCCGCAGCAGGGGAAGGCGACTGTGCACGGATAGAGAGCAGCGGGCGAGGCTGGCGCTACGGGCAGGCGGCGCTGCAAGCGGTCAGCGCGACGGGAGGGCGATGCTGCGAGCGGGCAGCGCGGTGGACGGGCCGGGAAGCGGGCAGCGCGGCGGGCAGGCGGCGCTGCAAGCGGGCAGCACGGCGGGCGGGCGACGCTGCGAGGCGGGCGGGCCGCGAAGCGGGCAGCGGGCGGGCGGGCGGCTGCGAAGCGAGCAGCTGGGCGAGCGGGCTGCGATGCGGGCGGGCCGCGAAGTGGGCAGCTAGCGGGCGGGCGGGCTGCGAAGTGGGCGGGCCGCGAAGCGGGCAGCGGGGCGAGCGGGCTGCGAGGCGGGCGGGCCGCGAAGCGGGCAGCGAGCGGGCGGGCGGGCTGCGAAGTGGGCGGGCCGCGAAGCGGGCAGCGAGCGAGCGGGCTGCGAAGCGGGCGGGCCGCGAAGCGGGCAGCGAGCGAGCGGGCCGCGAAGCGGGCGGGCCGCGAAGCGGGCAGCGAGCGGGCGGGCGGGCTGCGTAGCGAGCGGGCCGCGAAGCGGGCAGCGAGCGGGCGGGCGGGCTGCGAGCGGGCGGCTCGGCGAGGGGCGCGCGAGGGCGCTAGTGAAGGGGCGCGCGAGGGCGCTAGCAAGGGGCGCGCGAGGGCGCTAACGAAGGGGCGCGCGAGGGCGCTAACGAGGGTGCGCGCGAGGGCGCTAACGAGGGGCGCGCGAGGGCGCTAACGAGGGCGCACGAGGGCGCTACGAGGCTAGGGCACGGGGTAGCGTGGTAACCGCATGCGAGCGGTGGTGGGCCCTTAAAAAAAAAAACGGTCGGTAGGTCCTAGGGACCTCCTGCTCTGATACCATGTCAGAATCACTAGGCAAGAATGGATGAACTAACAGAAGTTTGGGTACAAATATGAAACCCTAGTTGGGGTTGTACCCCATATTGGCTACCCCACTACAGCCTACAAGCATAATACAGTTTAACAGCACGTACAAGGGGCAGCTGGGCAATCGGGTGCTTTGGGATCTGCACGAGAGCAAGGACGTGTACAGATCCATGTGGCAGCTGCCGGCGTTGGCGTGGCATGGTGGGGGGCAGGCTAGAGAGGGGTCTGCATCCTAGGGGGAGTGCAACGCCGTTGGAGGGGTTGGCGTGAAAGTGTCGGCCAGATCTGGGGAGACAGATTGGGCAACGGCACACCGACGCTTGGGGCATGTGGCAATGCCTTTATTGAAGCAGCTGGAGAAGGATGGAGCCGTCAAGGGTTTGAAGCTGAACGGACAGCCACCCGATGATAACTGTGAAATCTGTTTGCTTTCAAAGTTCACCCGTTTCCCTTTCCATAGTGTGGCTGGCAAGAGCAAGAAGCCTTTAGAGCTGGTCCACATGGACTTGGTGGGGCCGCTGCCGGTGCAAGGGCACAAAGGGGAGTTGGGTGCAAATGCACATTGCACGATATCCTGCCGTCTGTTTGTACGAGTATGCGTGTGCGAATGCATTTGGGTGTGAATGGAATGTTCGTGTGTTTGTTTGCTTTCGCAATTTTTGCTTGATGCATTTGCAGGTACTCGCGCAATCTGCGCTTCGGCACAACATTGTACGCGCTATGAACAGTGCAAGCAGAAAGGACGGGCCTGCAAAGGAACCCAAGATGGAAGCTTTGCGGTTCGGTTAAATTGATTGCGCAGATCCAGTTCTATCCAACTCGAGATTGTACTGTTTTGTTTGGTTGTCTATAGTGTAGCAGGGCAGGCACTATAGGGGTACAATTTAGGTGAAGTTTGGATGTTGTTTGTCTGTATCTGCATGCTACAGGGCCAGGGGAAACCAGCGGAACCAGCATTTGGCTGTTTGGGCAAAGACAAAACAGGTTCTGTTTTTAGAACCTGAACCTGGTTGTTGTTTTCCCAGGTTGGAAAAACAGAACCAGAGGTTGTTTACCAACCTACCACCTGCTATTTTGTCCAGCCAGGTTGGTTCTGTTGCTTGGAATTATTTGGGATCATCCCTGATTGTTCCCAGGTTGATTTCCAAGACCCTTGCTAGCTAGAACTATTTAATCCTTCTCTGTTTGTACCTGTATATAGTCAATTGATTCAAGCGAATTCCTTCCTCGCTGGAGTTTCGTTTCTGCGCTATTCGACGGCGGAATGCTACCCGAGTCAACGCTAGTACGCTAGCACTCCAACGCTAGGCAAACGCTGTCTGAGCCATAACTTCGTAATGGCAGAACTTTTCGCGATGTAATTTGGCTTATTTTAAAGTTAGCGAGCTTCGTTATAGTCCCACCTGCCGTCTGTTTGTACAAGTATGCGTGTGCGAATGCATTTGTGTGTGAATGGAATGTTCGTGTGTTTGTTTGCTTTCGCAATTTTCGCTTGATGCATTTGCAGGTACTCGCGCAATGTGTGCTTCGGCACAACATTGTACGCGCTATGAACAGTGCAAGCAGAAAGGACGAGCTCGCAAAGGAACCCAGGATGGAAGCTTTGTGGTTCGGTTGAATTGATTGCGCAGATTCAGTTCTATCCAACTCGAATTTGTACTGTTTTGCTTGGTTGACTATAGTGTAGCAGGGCAGGCACTATAGGGGTACAATTTAGGTGAAGGTTGGATGTTGTTTGTCTGTATCTGCATGCTACAGGGCCAGGGGAAACCAGCGGAACCAGCATTTGGCTGGTTGGGCAAAGACAAAACAGGTTCTGTTTTTAGAACCTGAACCTGGTTGTTGTTTTCCCAGGTTGGAAAAATAGAACCAGAGGTTGTTTACCAACCTACCACCTGCTATTTTGTCCAGCCAGGTTGGTTCTGTTGCTTGGAATTATTTGGGATCATCCCTGGTTGTTTCCAGGTTGATTCCCAAGGTCCTTGCTTGCTAGAACTATTTAGTCCTTCTCTGTTTGTACCTGATGTTGGTGTAAGGGCCTAATAAACTCAAGCTATTAGGACTTAATCAAACTTAAAACCTCTCCTCGGGGTCACCTCCAAGGGTCCCTGGGTGCCTGGCACAAGACCAGCCCCTATCCTCGGGTCCGAGTTTGTAGAGAGAGGGATCAAGAAGGACTTAGTCAAAACAGCAAGAGTACCTTGAACGTCGCGCAGCGTGCCGTGCAGACCGTCGGTCGGATTAAGCTGAGAATTCGCTATATCGAAGCTCGCTCCAAGAGCTTTAAAATGAGCCAAGTTGCCTCGCGAAAAGTTCTGCCATTACGAAGTTATGGCTCAGACGGTGTTTGCCTAGCATTAGAGTGCTAGCATACTAGCGTTGACTCGGGTAGCATTCCGCCGTCGAATAGCGCAGAAACGAAATTCCAGCGAGGAAGGAATTCGCTTGAATCAATTTTACTATATTCAGGTACAAACAGAGAAGGATCAAATAGTTCTAGCTAGCAAGGACCTTGGGAATCAACCTGGGAACAACCAGGGATGATCCCAAATAATTCCAAGCAACAGAACCAACCTGGCTGGACAAAATAGCAGGTGGTAGGTTGGTAAACAACCTCTGGTTCTGTTTTTCCAA